GGCAGGAGGATCGTTGCAAGTTCGAGATCAGCCTGGGCTACAAAGTGAGCTCAAGGCCAGCCTGAACTACATAGCGAGACCCTGTCTCAAAAAGAAAAAAAAAAAAAAAAAAAAAGTGGAAAAGTTTTAAATCAGGTGTAGTGGCGTGCTTCTGTGATCCAGCTCTGTGGGAGGCTGAGGCGGGAGGATAGTTACACACCGGGCGTAGTAGCACACGCCTGTATCCTGGCACTTTGGGCAGTAGAGGCAAGAGAATCTAAATTGAGCACAGTCTGGGCACCTTAGTGATTTAGCTAGACCCCTTCTCATATATTGCAGTGAAAAAGCGCCGGGGATATAGTTCTGTACAGAGGCCTTGGGTTTAATCTCCAATACCGCTAATAAAGTTTGAACCCAGACTGGACAACATGTTAACTAAAGGGGATCATGTCTCTGGTTGTACCGGGAAAAAAAGCGTTTAGGATCCAGTTGAGCATTCTGAAAGTTTTTCAAAAGTTGAAGTAGCATCTGAGTGGTAGTGCACACCTGTAATCCTAGCATTTCGGAGGCTGAGGCAGGAGGATCGTTACGAGTTCAAGACCAGCCTGGGCTACAAAGTGAGCTCAAGGCGAGCCTGAACTGCATAGCGAGACCCTGTCTCAAAAAGACACAGATAAATAAATAAATAAATAAATAAAAATAAAATGGTAAAGTAGGAGTTGTTCTGAACACTGATTTTGAGGTCCTGGTGAATCGCAAATGGGAATGACAGGCATCAGGATAGTCCTCTCTGGTCAGTTTTAGAGAAGAGAGGTCTGGACAGGAGACGGTGCTTTGGAGTCATCGGTATGGAACCGTACTTACGGCTACCAGGCGAGGAGAATGGAGGGAAAGGGAGAGACACTGAATGAAGGAGAGGTCGACAGTTTTATGAAAAGTAAATTCTTCCGGGACTACTTGGCTCCCCTGTGTAATGCTGAATGCAGCCATAGATAATAGTAAGGAGCAGGTCCGAGTCTATGATCAGTTAAGCTGTTTGTGGCTATGGCAGTTGGAATTTTATAATTTTCATATGTTATATGTAAATAAAATGTATGAGACTATTTTTAGTTTTTGTGGGGGACTGTTTTTGGTTTTTGTTTCGTTGTTGAGACAGGGCCTCACTATGTAGTTCAGGCTAGTTTTGAACTCACTGTATACCCCAGGCTGGCCTTGAGCTTGTGGCAATCCTCCTGCCTCAGCCTCCCACGTGTTGGAATTACAGGCATGTCCCTCTAAGCCTAGTGAGACTATTCTTTTGAATGAAGTTCCTGCATTAAAGCCCCAAGAGAACAAGCTAAACATGAAAATAGAGGGACTGAGGGGCCGGGGATATAGCTCAGTGGCACAAGCGCCTGCCTGGCAAGTGCAAGGTCCTGAGTTTGATTCCCGGTACCAAAAAAAAAAAAAAAAAATAGAGGGGCTGAGGATACAGGTCAGTGGTAGAACACTTGTCCGCAGCTCTCAGGCTGTAGGTTCGATCCCTAGCACTACAAACATAACAAATAAAATGGTGCTGGTTATACTAAAATTATCACCAACAGAAACTAATCTGACCAACAGAGAAATTTTAAAAAAAGAGCAATCAGAAGCCAGGCATGGTGATGCATGCCTGTAATCCCAGCACTTGGGAGGCTGAGGCAGGAGGATTGCTGCAAATTTGATGTCAGCCTGGATTACACAGTGAAACTTTGTCTCAAAACAAAACAAAACAAAACAAAACAAAAAAACAACAAAAAGAAGAGGATGTAGCTCTGTGTGTGTGCATGTGTGCAGGCATATCTATATAAGATGTAGATTAGTAGTAGAGTGCTTGCCTAGCATTACAAGGCCCTGGGTTCGATCTCCAGTATTGAAAAAAAAAGAAAAGGGTATAGTGCACGGCTTGAGGAATCCCAGTATTTCAGGTGAGATGGAGAAAAGAAGCTGGCGAAGGACACAGAAGGAACAAAAGTGTGCCAGGAGCAAAGCCAACAGAGTGAGCTTGTCATGTGCGAACCAGCAGGCCAGCCCTCAGTGGTATCATGGTTGATGTTGATGGGAAAGGTAGTCCACAGACTAAAAAGTGTTGGTTGGATTTGGTAAACTGCAAGTCTTTGGAGATGCTGGCAGGAAGCAGTTCCTGTGTGGTGAACTTGGCACCAGTCAGGGCCTGAGATGAGGACCTTCACCTGCCCTAAACACTGCCTTCCTCACAGAAAAACAGTGCTCAGGACTAGTCAGTGAGAGGTGGCGCAGGAAGGGTTCTATTAGACACAAATTCAAAAGCACGATGGACTGCTACCAAAACTTAACGTCAGCTGCTGCCTGCTATCAAAAGTACGACAGAGTGGGGCCCTCAGGACAGAGAGGCACGTTTGTTGGTGATGGAGAATTTTTGTATGCGCAATACCATTTCTTTTTTGAGACAGGGTCTTGCTATATCAGCAATACCATTTTATTTGTTATTTCTGTAGTGCTAGGGATGGAACCTACAGCCTCAGAGCGGCTGACAAGTGTTCTACCACTGACCTGGAACTGGGTATATTTATGGGCCCATGGGGACATTTTTCTTTTTTATTTTGGTATCGGGAATCAAATTCAGAACTTAACACCTGGGGACATTTTAAAAATGGATGTCTAGAGCCGGGCATGGTGGCACATGCCTGTAATCTCAGCACTCAAGAGGCTGAGGCAGAAGGATCACCACCTCCCACAAACTAAATCCATGGGAAAAAAAAATTAACTAATTGGCTTTCCATGTTTATTTGTGAGTCACTGTTCCGTCCTGAGGCCTGTAATGGTGGGTGAAGCCATGAAGCCTCAAAGGACAAGATAAGGCCAGAACTGAAGATGTTTGGCTCCAACCCTAGTTATCTAAAAGGAGGCTGTAGCTGTAGGCATCTCACTCCTGCAGTGAAGGCCTTCCTGGAGATAACATAGTTCTCCTAAATTAACATGAAGTATTACTTGGAGTAATCCTTGAAGGGATTCCCAAGTCCTGCCCGGATTCCTGCATTTTCTTCAGTATTCCCCTCCTTTGTTTGAAAACCTAATAAATACAGGCTGCCCAGGGAAGTCTGGGTCTTCACCCAGAATCCTAACCCAGAGAATCTTAAATAGTGTAAGAGAGTTGGACCCTCCTGGAGCCCTGAAATCATATCATTTGTCTCATTTATTTAAGCCTTCATCATCCACTCGTTTGGGAGATTGTGGGCCTAATCAGCCCACAATCACTAAGGGTTATTAACCTGATACTATACTACATTAATTAGAGAGGATGAAGCTTAAACAGCAGTGTTTATCAAGTAGCTATTAAACTTTTTTTTTGTTGTTGTTACTTGGAATCAAACTCACAACCTTATGCTTGCCAGGCAGGCACTATGTCCTGAACTATTTCCCTGGCCCTAAATTTATTTCAAAATAAAATGAAAGCTAGCTGTGGTGGTGCATGCCTGTAATCCCAGCACTTGGGAGGCTGAGGCAGGAGGATCGTTGCAAGTCCGAGGCCAGCCTGGGCAACAAAGTGAGCTCAAGGGCAGCCTGAGCTGCATAGGCAGACCCTGCCTCAAAAAGACAAAAATAAATAAATAAAAGGAAGATGGCTGGGTGCGGTTGTTGTAAATGCCTGTTGTCCCAGTGATACGAGAGAAATATTGTTAGGGAAAAAGGAGGAAGAGAAACAGAAGTCTGAGCTGAACAGGACAGGTTTATTTCAGGGCAAACTCGGGACATCCTGGCTGTCCTTCAGGTTAGGTCTTTCACAGGGTCACTTCAGGGAAGGGGGCTGTGGCTACCTGCCAAGGACAGGCAACCTGCTCAGTGTCAGATGTGCCAGCTGTGCCCCTTGCAATTGAAGAATTTGTAAGAGACAGCGGAGGTTAAGAGCAGGAAAGATTACTGAGAGACGGATTCTGAGAGCCAGGAAGGATTCCAAATGAGTTGCCTCCGAGGCCCTTTGTCAGCGGTGATTTATACAGTGAAGTCACTACGTGGGTCAGACTGCAATCACCCAACAGGATCGTAAGCAGAGCCATTTAGCTAGTATTGATCTAAGAGGGAAGCAGGGCACGTGCAAGGGTATATAGCAGACATTAACCATGGCTATCTGTGACTTCTGGAATAGGAGCATTTACAAGAGGCTGAGGCAGGAGGATGGCCAGCCTGAAGTACATAGTGAGACACTGTCTCAACGGCCACGCCCCCCCACAAAAAAAAGACCTCCAAAAAACAGGAAGGGGTGGGTCCAGGTGTTCTGGTTGCCCACCCGGTGTCTGCGGATCTACAGTGACCAGTTGAGACCGGCCTCTCTAGCCCAGTTCTTTCACATACTGTTACAGTAACCTGGGATCTCAAAGGGGACTGCTTAACTTGCATTATTGTTTCCTCAAAATTCAGGATCTTAGGGAGTGGGCTGCATTCATTCTTCTGCATACAAAGAAATTCATTCTTTGGCCAAAGTCCTAGCTCACTGTCTATACTTAAGTTTTATCATATGGCTGCTCCCTCCACTCTATCTCAGCCTGTTTTACTAGCTAAATAAACTACCATAAGCTAACTAAATAAACTACGGTCTACTTCACTACTCCATGGAGTGGAAGCCCTTCTAGATTTCGGAGGCAACGTTCTATTCGTTTACTGAGTGACCCTGATTGAGAGAAGTCCAGAGAAAGGGAGTGTCCAGACTGATCAGCCTTCTGATTCTGGCTCCCATGGCTTATTCTAGCCTCCTGGTGGATCTGCAATGATACACTGTATCTTTAGAGGTTTGGTTCACCTCTCTCTAGTAAACAATGATATTGACTGCCTTTTTACATAGTTAGCTGTGTACATTTTCTTTGTTGAAATGCCTTTTCAAATCTTTCCCCATTTATGCTAGAAAAAAAATATTTTTTGGTACCGGGAATTGAACTCAGGATCTTGTGCTTACCAGGCAGGCAATGTGCCACTGAGCTGTATCCCCACCTCACCCCCCCTAAATTTTTTTCAGTCCAGACTGGCCTCAAATTTGAGCTGATCCTCCTGCCTCAGCCTCCCAAGTGCTGGGGTCACAGGTATATACCACCAGGCCCAGCACAAAATTAGACTTTTGATTGTTTTGGTTTTTTTTTAAATCTTTTTGAGACAGGGTCTTGCTGTGCAGTTCAGGCTGGCCTTGAGCTCCCTTTGTAGCCCAGGCTGGTCCCCAACTCACAACGATCCTCCTGCCTCAGCCTCCCGAGTGCTGGGATTACAGGTGTGTGCTATCACGCCCAGATACTAGACTTTTGATTGTTGAGGTATAAGGTGCATATATATTTTGGACTCCAGCCCCTTATCAGATATGTTATGTAAATGTTTCTTTTCCACCTGGGCATGGTGGTGCATGCCTGTAATCCCAGCACTCGGGAGGCTGAGGCAGGATCCTTGCAAGTTCGAGGTCAGCCAGGGCTACAAAGTGAGCTCAAGGCCAGCCTGAACTGCATTGTGAGACCTTGTCTGAAAAAGATGGAAAAAAAAAAAGCCCATTCTGTGGGTTATCTTTTCACTTTCTTGACTGTGGGTGGCATTTTTCAAATAAAGTTTTTAATTTTGATGAAATTTACTTTATCTGGTTTTCTTTCACTGTGCTTTTGCTGTCAAATCTAAAAAAACCCGAAGAAATCTTTCCAGCACCTGTATAAGCAACAGAAAATGCAGACATTACTTGAAGGGCTGACCCCAGTTCACATGTGGGAATTTGACAAGAGGGCTCCAGCTTGATTTCTGCCTGTTTGTCAGGCAGATTTATCTTTGTCAAAAGAGACCTAGGATAATTATATCGCTGCTTGCTCACTTGAATGAAGTTGTCAAACTCAGCTGTGAAACAGTGTGGTCTGACAGCAGTGTTTTTCTTCACTGTGGTTTTTTTTGTTTGTTTTGGTCTTTTTGAGTCAGGGTCTCATCATGCAGTTCAGGCTGGCCTTGAGCTCACTTTGTTTTTTTGTTTTTTTTTTTTTTTGGTTTTTCTCCGGCACCGGGAACCAAACTCAGGACCTTGCGCTTGCCAGGCAGGTGCTTTGCCGCTGAGCTAAATCCCCAGCCCCTCTTGAGCTCACTTTGTAGCCCAGGCTGGTCTTGAACTCATAATGATCCTCCTGCCTCAGCCTCCTGAGGACTGGGATTACAGGTGTGCGCCACCATGCCTGGCTTCTTCATTGTGTTATAAGCAGTAATGAATTCCCCCTGAAGCTCAGCCAGGAAGAGAAGGCAAGAACATTTGGGTAATTTTGAGTGTACAACATCATATAGCTCACTTCGAGAGCTTATAAAATTGTTTTTGTTTGAAACAGGGTCTCACTTTGTCGTTCTAGCTGGCTTTGAACTCACAGCAATCTTCTTGCCTCAGCCTGAGTGCTGGGATTAAGGCATGAGTCCCACATCTGACTAAAATGGTTATAATGTCCAGTTTTTTAGTGTACATCTATCAGGAAGTTGAGCAAGTTTTGAGAGGATATTAAAATACCTCCTGCTTTTGTGCATTTCTGGGTTTTGTTCATGGGAGTCTGTTGTGGTTTGTGTCTGGGTGTCCCCCCAAATCCTCATGCAGTCATGGGGCGGGCTTCTAGAGTTCATGGTTGATTCATGATCCAAAGCTGGAATTATGGATAAGTGCTACACCTGGCCTGGGGCAGGTAGTTTGCATACAGTGTAAGGGAGGGAAAGAGGCTGCTTGCTGCCTCTCTTCCTTCTTGCTCTTGCTTTTGCTACCTACCTCCACGAACTGCTGCCCTCTGCCCTGTGCCCCTCTGCTTGGGAGCCAGCCGAGTATGGACTGAAACCTCCACAGACTGTGAGCTAAATAAACCTTTCCTTCCTTAATTTTGGGCATCAGGTATTTTGTCCAGTAACGAGAGAAAAGTAACCAAGACACCATCCCTGACACGAACAGCCGAAGCAAATCTGACATTCTGACTGATGAGGCCTGTTGAAATGGGGCCCGCTGCTGTGAGTGCTGGGGTTGCAGGTGTGCTAGCATGCCCAGTTTGAGACGGGGTCTTCTAATAATGTATTTTAGGCTGGCTTTGAACTCACTATGGAGCCCAGGTTGGGCTCTAACTTATAGTGATCACAGGCGTGTGCCACCGTGCCTGGCTTATTTTTTTGGTGGTACCAAGGGTTGAATCCAGGGCCTTCATTCCCCCGTTTTCTTTTATTGAGACAGGGTCTCATTAGCTGCTTAATTTCCTAGGCTGGACTTGAACTTGTGATCCTCCTGTCTCACTCTCCCAGAGTGCTGGGATCACGTGTGTGAGCCACCTGTCTTGGCTTCCCAGAGCTTTTCCGGTGTATTCTGCAGACTTTGGGAGACAGTGGCATCTCCTCTACTTACAGTCCCTGTCCCTTGCAGTGTCCTGGAGCCTAATACAGGTCATCAGCTATGACCAAGCCAGAGGCTGCTGCAACTGTAGGCACGGATTTGGTCTCCTGAGAGTACAGGACCCGTACCGCAGTTACTGAGCCACGGTCACAGCGGTGTCCTTGGTACCAGAAGGCTCAGACAAAATCCAGGCTCTTCCCACACACTACTCAGAAGGCTTTTCTTCTCTTGCTTTATTGTTAAACACGGTGCATAAATACATAAAACAGTACAGTAGGGACCCTGTCGACCCTCAAAAATTGCCAAGGAAGGAAGACCCAAAACTTTTTTTTTTTAAAGTACAAAACATGCAAGGCACGGACCAAGGGTGTAGATGGCAGCCCTGAGGGCTGAAAGGCTCCTCTTCCTCCCAGAGGGCTGGATAAGCCCGAGGAGAGGCCACCAGAAGCTGCACAGTGTCCCTGCATGCTGCCCAGGGACACTCGGTCTGGGCAGCGCTCTCAAGGAAGAACAGGGCGGCTCACAGGGCAACGAGAAGCTCCTTTCTCTCACTCCCAGTTGAGGGAAAGGAAAGTAGCGTCCCTGCCCCAGGTGCTCCCACACCTGGCATTTACCAAACCCACCCCAATTCAGACCCTGCCAACCCACCAGGTGCCCAGAGCTCGCCGGGAGGGGCCAGAGGGGAGGCGCCAGGGGAACCAAACAGATCTTTATTTGCCGTCGTCACTGGGGCCGTTTCTTGCTGCGCGTCTGTTTGCTCACCTGCTCTTCCTGATGCATGGCCAGGCGCAAGGCCTTGAGGACCTCTGGAAGGAGAGCGCAGTGGTACTCGGGGGGTCTCCGAGGGCCCGGATCCCCGCACCGCCTGGGAGCCAGCAGCCCATGTCACCTCACCCCGCGGCCACACTCACCTTGCAGGGCTGCAAAGTGCTTGGCTTGCTGGGCCAGGGCAGACTCGGCTCTGGTTACAAAAACCTCCAGGTCATAGTCTGGTTGCTCAGTCATCACAGAGAGCTCAAGCCAGCCTGGTCCGAGCTGCAACCACACAGAGGACCTTGTCAGCTCAGTGACAACAGTAGCCTTTTCGCAGGTTGCTCCCAGGGCCACCATCCGTGATGCAGATGGCTGTGCCAGATGCCACACCTCAATCCACACCCCACTTTTTGGCCCTTTCCCCTGGAAATCCTCTTTTTAAAACTAACTTTTTTACAGACAGGGTCTTCCTATGAAGTCCAGGCTGGCCCTGAACTCCAGGCAATCCCCCTGCCTCAGCCTCCCAAGTGCTGGGATTACAGACGTGCACCACTACACCTGGCAGAAATCCTCCTCTTAAAATCCTCTTTGTCAAACTTTTCCCTATCTCCTGTGGGCAGCGAATGATGTCACTGGTCCTGACGCCCAAACTAGAAAATGAGCGTGACAACTCTTCACCGTTTGTCACTAAAATTTGCCAGCTGTACTCCCTAAGTAGTGTTTTATTTTGGTCAGTGCTGGGCATGGAACCCAGGGCCTCAAGTATGCTAGGCAAGTGTTCTACACTGAGCTACACCCTCAGTTAGTGATTTACCTAAAACACTATGATCATGTCACCCTCTGCCTAAGTTCCTCAGGGAATCCCATGCCTCTGGTATGAGTGTGGAAAGGCTGTGTGGCACCTGGGCCCCGCTGAACTGACCACAGGCTGGATCTCCTGTTATCTGCTCACAACTGGCTCTGGGGATAGCCAGTCATTTGTCCTGAAAATGCCATGTCCTTTTGAACCCCAGGGCCCTTGAGCACTCCAGGGAGGGAGGACAGGTCCAACCACTCCCTTCACAGTGCCGCCTCCCAAGTCCTCGAAGTTCTTCCTTCTGATCCCCAATCTCAGCACACCCATGGTTAGGATGGACTCTGCAGTACCTCTCCTCTGCCGCGGTTGCAGTGGCAACAGCAATAGCAGCAGCAGCAGCAGCAGCAGCATCACTTGCTCCATAATGAGCAGAGAAGCAGACGCTGGGCCTTGTGCCCAGGTGCTTTACAAGCACGTCACTAAAGACACCATTCTGTCTTGCCCATTTTAGGGGTGAAGAAGTGGGAGGCCCAAACTGACCCTCACAAAGAACTCAGCTTATACCTGAAAAAGTCAAAACTGATTTCTTTTTTCTTTTCTTTTCTTTTGGTCTTTTTGAGACAGGGTCTTACTATGCAGTTCAGGCTGGCCTTGAGCTCACTTTGTAGCCTAGGCTGGTCTTGAACTCACAACGATCCTCCTGCCTCAGCCTCCCAAATGCTGAGATTACAGGCATGCACCACCACGCCAAGCCTACCACTCATACTTGATGTTTTAGATCCATGGTTTCACACAGTACCTGGAACATTTACCGAATCAACAAGACCAGATCTCTGCATGAGGCACCTTCTAAGCCTCAAGCAGGAGCACAGAGGAGCAGAACCGGCTCCGGCCAGGGGGACTGACATGTGCCAGGCCGAGCAGGGCAGAAGCTGTAACTAGCTGCCTGGGAAGGGCTGACTGACCGCAGACTCAGGACAGCGGCTGTCCAGGGCGCCTTCCAGGTGTGCTGAGCACTCCGTGGGCTGGGCAGGGCTGGGTCTGTCCCTGGCCGGGGTCAGCTCCCACCTGTGCGATCTCCTTGAGCTCCTCCACAGCCCTTTCCTCCAGCTCCCTGATCTGAGTCATAGTTTCATTAAAGCTGGACATCTGGGAAGACAATTCCTCCTCCTCCTTGGAGAACTAGGGTACAAAGGGAGAGAAGCAGCGTGAAGAGCAGGGCCCGGCCCCCTCTGCAGGGCGCCCTTCCGTGCAGCCGCGCTGCCGCCCTTACGCTGTTCGTGGCCAGGGCCCCGGCAGAGCTGGCTTCGGTCTCGTCTGTCTCCATCTGCATCGGCTGCTCTCCACTCGGCCCGATGTGGGGGCTCAGTTCTTTGACTCTGAGAAAACGCGAAGGGCTCAGGTGCCAGGCCCCTCTCCCCTGCCCTCCCTGCTGGAGTCCAGTGCCCCTCAGGTGGGGAGCCTGTGGCCCTGAGGCATGGAGTGGCAGCTTCACTTTTAGCCAAATCCCAGAGCCTGGAGATGCGCTAGACAAGACCTTTACATACTGCCCACCGCAGGGGACGGGACGGACCTAGCGCCATGGCTGAGGGCCCACGCACAGACACTGGGTCCTGGGGAAGACACGGTGGTTTCGGGGCCTGGCCCCTCCTCCCCCAGCCATGCCCTTCTAGTCCCCCCACCGGGGCCCGGGTACCTGGGTACCTGTCTGCGTATCTGAGTGTGTTCAGAGTATATTCGCAGGAGCTAATGCCTGGTGAGATCATGGAAATCTGCAAAAGAGGGGGTGGGTGGACAGAGCCTGAGACAAGGCGAAGGCACTAGACAGCCTGCGCCAGGGTCGCTGCCCGGAGCCATGGCTCAGACCCATGTGGTAAGGTGGGAGGACTCAGTAGGTCCCGAGCTGTGCTGGGTGACTTGTCCCATGGGCATCAAAAACTACAGTGCCTTAAAAACTGGTCCCCAAACTAGGTGTGGGAGCTTACACCTGTAATGCAGGCACTCTGGGAGGCTGAGGCAGAAGGATTCCAAATTCAAGCCCAACCTGACCCATTTGGTGAAACATTGTTTCAAAAAGAAATAAAAACCAAAAGCGCTAGGGATGTACCTCAACACGTCATTCCTCAGTACAAATGAATGAGTGACTGCATGAGCACCTAATTACCTTCTGCTTCTTTACCCACCTACCAAAGTCCTATCTCAGAACCTCTAGGCTCCTGCAGCAAATTTCAGCTCACCAGGGCATGGGATAATGCCTTGGGGGAAGGTGTTTAGAGCTTAGTCAGACGGCTGGGGTGCAGCTCATTGGTAGGTTGCTTCCCTAGCATGCATGAGGTCCTGCGTTCCATCCCCAGCACCGCCAAAAAACAAACTCAGTCAAAAATCCAAGGGAGACTTGGTGATGCATGACTATAATCCCAGCACTTGGGAGGCTGAGGCAGGAGGATCACAAATTGAAGGGCAGCCTCAACTATACAGAGAGGCTCTGTCACACAAACAGACAAACAGAAACTCCCCAAATTACCAGGAAATCTTTCTTCCTCATGGGAAAGGCCCTAGCTAGAGCACAGAGGTGGGGATTTTCCCTGGAGGAAGGGATGGCAGACCTCTCATAGAAGAGATCAAACAGGGAAAGGAAGGGTAACAAGGCCCTGGACCTAAGGCCTCACACTCAGCCTGTTTCCTAGATTGGAAGCCAATGAGCCTGACGAAAGCCACAGAAGAGACGCGGCCTGCCCTCTCCTGGTCCCTTAAAACCCATCTTCTGGACCCAGAGCTCCTTTTCAAGCAGGCGGGTAAAGCAGCGAAGCTCTCCTCGGAGCCGAACGCTCCACCCACTTGCGGTGAGGGGTGCGGGACGGCTGCTCCCACCTGGGCCGCCTCGAGGCTGCCACAATCGCAGGCGTGGAAACCGGGTGAGGCCTGGGCATGCTGGCTTTGAGGGGCTGAGCCTCCCGCCAGGGCCAGGGTGGAATGACTGCCTGGACCACACCTGTCTCCTCCCCAGGGGCCCTGCTCACCATGCAGGTCCTCGAATTCTCCCCAATGAAGGAATCCCTCAGCACCTGCGTCAGCTTGCTCTCTCGGAACGGGGTGTGAGCCTTGTTCTGGCCCAGAGCCCTGATGCATTCCTGTGGACAGCAGAAAGCACTGAGGCCCCTTCTCCCCTCCATGTTGCCACTCGCTCCCCTCCCCGCTGTCCCGCCCACCCAGCCCTAGAGCCAGCCCCTGCTACCTTCAGGGCCAGGAGACTCTTGTTGATTTCGGCGCCCTCCACACGGGTCTGCCAGTCAGTGCTAGAGGTGTCTACACCTCGCTCGTTTCCTGCCAGATCCACCAAAGAGAACTTGCCGTGCATCCTCTCTTTGGTTCGAAGAAGAATCTGGAAGCAGGCATGGGAGCGGGAGGAGTTGGAATTGGCAAATGTCTGTCCAGAGGTCCTGTGGCAAAAGGAGGCAAAAAAAGATTGAGCTTCTGGGGCCACTGGCCTCCAGGATATCCCACAGTCTAAGCCACCCCAGCCAGTTCTCTGGTGAGGGAGGGGTACTGGTTAAGACTCTAGGAATCTTGTGTCTTTCTGTCCCAGACTTCCATTCTGTCCTCCCTGAACGGCACCTCTCCCAGACAACCAAATTAGTACAGCCTGGATTCTGTGCTAGAGCCCGGGCCAGGCCTGGGCCCGTGAGGACACAGGACCAGAGGAATGCCCAGCTATAGGGCATGCTGGGAGGGGCACTGTCATGAACATCAGAACCCGGGAGCCCTGAAGACGGCAGCCCCGCCCGGGCCTCTGTAGCTGTCCAGCACACCTCGCACCGTCTCAGGTCTTCCCTACTTCTGTACAGAGGAGCTGTAGCCCCATGACTTCAGGCCAGAACAGACCCAGAGCTCCTAACTCCCCTAGGGGGAGGGAAAACAAGGAGAATCCCATGGATGCCGGAAGCATGCTTGCAAATAAAGCAGCTTTGACTCAGTGCTGACGAGCCTGTGGCCTGGTCATCTGCTTTGCTGAGACCCTTCCAGAGTAGAGATCCTTAAACAAAACAAAAAGTGGAAATCCTCAGAGCCCTTAGAAGCAGCAGCATTATGTGGAAACTGAAATGACCTCAAAGCTACCCTGTCTCCTGAACCGCATGTTAGAAGATGACCCCTTCCCCTTGCCCGGACTCTGACCTGCAGGCACTGCCCATGTCGATCATCTTGATGACGTCCTCTGCACAGTTAACCAGGTGCTCCTGCAGCCCCACCACCTGCACCTGTTGCTTGCCGTCCTCCAGCACGCGCAGCTTGGCCTTCTTATTAAGCAGGTCAAACAGCTGTGCCAGGAAAGGGGCGTTAAGCCTAAGGCCATAGGTGCTGAGCGCCCTGCCCAATACTGCCTTCTTGCCGACCCTGCCTGGCTTGGACAAGGGCTGGCAGTAGAAAGCCGGAGAGAAAGCGAGTCTTAGGTGTCACTCTACTCAAGACTGAACCAATTTGCTTCAGTTTGATTCAACTGTGCTACTTAACTAGCTGCCTGGGCAAGTTGCTGCCTGACTTTAGCCTATTTCCCATCTGTAAAGTTGACACAAGTGCTTACAATCATGCTTAGCGCATAATAGCCTGTTGGTGGTAGTATGAGCTGTTTTTATTACTTAGGTCCTGCTCTAGGAAAGGCCTCTCTGCAAACGTGCAGAAAACTGGAGAATGAATATGAGAATGAGCAGAGCCAGGGAAGCTCATGAGGGAGGTAGGTGAAGGGAAGCCAGGCGCACCCAACGCACCCTTCCATCTGAGCAGCAGCTGGGAGCACTCCCGCCGTGTGCTGGGCTTGGCACCACCTTAGCATCGGAAGAAGCCTCCTACACATACCAGGGCCACGCGCTCCAAAGGTCCTACAGCTAACAGGACGTTTGGGTCTACAACTTCTAGCCAATGGCAAGGTTTTAGGAAACAGGATTGGGGACACAAAGCACACACGGGGGTTCCGTGTTATCCACCTTCCCATTGTAGATCTCGAAGAATGTTACGTAGACTTCCAGGCCCAGGTTGCGGTAGCGGGGCTGATTCTTCAAGAGGAAGACATCCTGGGCTGAGGGGAGAGTTCAGTAAGTGACCACACTTTTCTGCCCAAACCCAGCGCACAGAATGTGCTACTTACAGGCCATGGCGTAGATCCCTTTGGATGCGTTCTGGGATTTGCCAGCCAGGTCTCCAACCATAGTCTGAAAAAGGGAAAGGAAGAGGCAGACAGCGGTGGTTAAGGCCTTTGGCCCAGGCCGGAGCACTACTGGCCACTGTGGGCTGCACCAGAGACTGGACCTGCAATGGAGAGACCGGGGATGGGGCTCCTGCTTTCTAACTCTGTTTGGTTTCAGGGACAAGGTCTTGCGATGTAGTTCAGGCTGGCCTTGAACTCACTATGTAGTTTAGGCGGGCCTCAAACTCAGTGAGCCTCCTGCCTCAGCCTCCCAAGTGCTGGGAATACAAGTATGCACAACCACGCCCAGCTCAAGGGGACTTTCTTCAAGAAAATCACCATTTTCCTTTTTTTTTTTTTTCTGTGCTGGAGCTAGTAATTGAAGCTAGGTACTTTGCACTGACCTGCATCCTTAGCCCTTTTTCATACTTTTAATTTTGAGACAGGGTCTCACTAAATTGCCTGGGCTCATCTTGAACTTGCAGTCTTCCTGCCTCAGCCTCCTAGAGTGCTGAAACTACAGGCTTGCACCACCATGCCCCACTTGTCTTCCTTTTTAGGGACCCAGGTGGCAGAGGAAGCCTTTCTGTGACAGGCGCAAATACTCACATGAGTTTTTCCACTTCCTGTCTGTCCATATGCAAAACAAGTTGCTTTTCCTCCTTCAAAAATTGTCTGTACCAGTGGCCTTGCTGTGAACCTAGGAGAAAAAATGGAGTAGAGGTGGAGAGTGTACAGTTACTCCTCTGTGTCTAAGGGTGATTGGTTCAGGGACCACCCCCATACCCAAATCACCAGTGCACAAGTCCCTTATATAAAATGACACAGGAGCCGGGGTTATAGCTCAGTGGCACAAGCGCCTGCCTGGCAAACTCAAGGTCCCGAGTTCGATTCCTGGTACCAAAAAAGGAAAAAAAAAGACATAGTATTCGCACCCACACACCTCTTTTACTTTTTTTTTACCCAGTATTGGGGATTGAACTAGGGGGCTTCGTACTGAGATATATCCCTAGGCCTTTTTCATTTATTTTTATTTTTTATTTTTTGTCTTTTTGAGACAGGGTCTCACTGTGCAGTTCAGGCTGGCCTTGAACTCTCAGTGATCCTCCTCCCTCAGCCTCCCTGAGTGCTGGGATTATAGGTATGTACCACCACGCCCAGCGTTTTCACTTAAATTTTGAGACAGGATCTCACTAAGTTGTCTGGACTAGGCTCAAACTTGCTATGCTCCTGCTTCAGCTTCTCAGCAGGCCAGGATTACAGGTGTGAGCCACCGCTTAGCTTAGATTTCTTTCTTTTTTTTTTCTGGTACCGGGAATTGAACTCACGACCTCACGCTTGCCAGGCAGGCACTTGCCACTAAGCTAAATCCCCAGCACCCCGCCTTTTTGATACCGGGAATTGAACTCAGGACCTTGTGCCTGCCAGGCAGGTGCCTGTGCCTCTGAGCTATCCCCGGCCCTAGATTACTTCTTATACCTACTACAATGTAAATGCAATGTAGTTACTACATTGTATTGTTTAGACTAGAAAATGACTAGAAACACATCTGCATATGTTCAGTACAGACACAATCTTTTTTTCTTCCAATGTTTTTGATCTATGATGGGCTGAATTCACAGATTAGGAACCTAAGGATATAAGGACCAGAACACATTCCCCAAATGTGTTCCCTAGACCACAGTCCTTCCACACAGAGCTTCCAGGACCTTTCTCGGTGGTCCCACTGTGTCTCAACCCTAGGGACAAATCTGCACTCTATGAGTTAACTTGGGGAGCAAGCTGAGGCCCAAATTGCACACCATCCAGCTCCTCCTCTCTCCAGAGGCAGGAGAAGAAAACCTCAGCTGTGATAACGTCCAGCATAAAATACAGTATGAGGAGCAAGGAAAACCTACACTTAAAGTATTTTATGTTGGGCCAGGTATATAGCTCAGTGGCATAAGTGCCTGCCTGGCAAGGGTGAGGTTGTGAGTTC